ATATAAGTTATCCATTTTCAAAGCTATTGCTTTGCATTTTTAATCTAAAGTGTATACAATAATCACAGTATCTTTAATCATCTTCTCTCTGATTATGCTAATGTCAATTAGCGACAGGTTATATTATTAACTCTTTGAATAAGTAACTTTTTGTTTCTAACTGATTATTTAAGTGCACCTCTTCTCACTAATTTCCTAAAATAAAGTTTAAGAATACTTTTCAATTCTGATTAAGAAAGTCAATGGTTATGTTAAGTGAAATCTTCCCCCATATGGAAATATTCCATGTTCCCTCTGACTGATGTTTCTTTTTTATTTCACTGCCTTAAACTTGAAGATTCTTGTAGTTGCATGAAGTGTTTTCCAATGAGGGCACTTCTACGAGGACATTACAGTATATAAAGAATGCATCAGAATCTGTCTTTCCTGTCAAGGTGAAATGGTATTTTCTGCATGATACATTCAGTAACAGTTTGGACATGAAAAGACCAAACTCTGGATCCCAAACCAAAGTCCAAATAAATAGACCTTGCACAAACAGTCTGCATTGTGGTGTAAAATCATCTCCCCAGGAAGTGAAGCACCAGTATAGCATCTCTGCAGCTGTCATTACAGCCCTTGGGCTGTAGTAGCAGCTGCATTCACTGTGCCATCATTTACCATCCCATCTGATTAACCTTGCTCAGTTTCAGGTTTGGTTTCAAAATAACCTTTCTCAAGCAGCCAGGCCTTGCAGCACCACATGAACTTGGTAATATCTCCTTGACAATGAATCCTTCAGGAATATCACATTTTCTGGGGAGGGGATGTGATTTCTGATATATAGGACAAGGAACTCATTCCTTCAAAGCCTGACTCATTTCCATAAATATCCAACTTGCCTTCCAGCCCAGGACAAAATGTGAAGGAAGGGGAGACTCTCTTCTGGTTCTGTCAAGGCTTTCTTCACTCTAGGAGAAAGCAGTGTTGGCAAATAGTCAGGTTCTCAATACAGCATTTCCCCACACAAAAGATGCATTGCCTCAAACATCAGCACTCTCATAAAAGCAATAATAATAATAGTAACAACACTTTGATGGTGGGAATTTACAGCTGTCAGAAGGGGTCAGGGAGTGGTGTATATCATTATAGCCTGCAAGGACATAGGGCAGATTTGCCAGGTGCATTTGTTTTGGAGTCTATTAGTATGAATTTCACTTCATAAGCAGGAGGTGGGAAACTGATTCATTCCAGTCTGAAACATAGAGAGGCTGACATTAGTATGAATTTCACTTCATAAGCAGGAGGTGGGAAACTGATTGATTCCAGTCTGAAATATAGAGAGGCCGAAAATTTCTAATCACTTCAGTAAATGGAAGAGAGCAGTGGAGTGAAACAGTTCATTGGGACCTAGAGTAGCATGAAGAGGCATAGTAAGAAATCTATCCTATGTATTGTATGGTTCCCCCCGAATAATGTTTAATGTATTTGTCTTGTGGCATAGGGGAAATGCTAATAACAAACAAAAACCTGAGGTAGAGAGAAACTAAGTGATACAGGCAATTTGTGGTAAAGTAGTGGTTTGGATTTATATTTCCTAAAGCTGGGGTAAGCCCTTTAATCCTTCTTCCCCTAAGTACAATGTAATTATAGTATATGTGAAAACTAATGTTTTAGTAGCTGCACAAGATCTAATCCAAATTCCAGTGAAGTCTTTGGAAGTCTCGCTACTAACTTTGGAAGGCCTTATACCAGGGCTGGCATTACCATGAGGTGAACTGAGGCAGCCGCTTCAGGTGCCAGACTGTGGTGGTGGTGGTGGGGGTGGGGTGCCACTAGGACCCAGAGTGTAGAAAATTGTGTCTGCTGCTGGTGCATATGTAGGTAGCAGAGCAGTACCATGAGAAGAGTATACTAGGAAGAAGGCAGAATTGAGACATTTCAAAGTTTTGGCCAAAGCGAGGGGGAATAGGGGCATCATTTGAGCACCCCCACCTTCAGTTGCCAAAATGTTGTGGGCTGGCCCTGCCTTAGACTAGGCCCCAAGTCAGAAGGGAAGAGAGATTACTTAAGCTTCCAAGCAAAGCAATTATAGGCACAAGTAGCTACTGGTTCTAAGATGTTAGAGTAGCTATTACTTTTTAAGTTCATGTCTCACAAGTAATCACACTCTTCTGCTGCAGCATGCATCATGGGCTGGGATATGGAAGGCATGGCTAAAGGGTTGTTTGATTTGTTGCCCAAATGTTTGACTTCCTGATATTTGTGTTTTGTATTTTTTTAAATTGTGATAGGTTGGCATAAGTGCTTTAGTAGGAGGTGCCTGGTAAACACGATTGGTACAGTAGCCATTATTTGTTGTAACAGTGTATCCTGTAATCTTAAAGAAAAGGAAGGTGCAATACTTTGGTATCCTATATAGAACCATAGAAGGATGGTGGGGTGAAGGAGTAGCCCTGAGTTGGGATCAAGTCATATCTCCTAGACCAATTTTGCATTGGATTTGGGCTCAACGATAAGTTAGGGAAGTTACCATTTCTTTGAATTTTGAAGTTTGCTCATGATAGTATATTTTATTCTGCTGCACATAATAAAGGTTACGAGATGCTTAATGGATGAGAGAAACACATAGTGTGAGGTGGCACAAGATCTAAAGTCTGCTCTGACTTGTGGCAGTGGACTTGCCTGTTGCAACATTGAGAGAATTGATGGGAAGCCACTTTTGCCCCTTTCTGACCCCCTCCTTCCCCCCCCAGCAAGTTGTACCAAGTGCTTGTTGCAGTTTGTGTCCTTTATACCATTCTTATATATCCTTTACTTGTTTCTCCTCCATGGATTAGTGAGGATGCCAGGAGCATCCCTATAACAATTCCTACTTGAATGTGTTTGTATGTGGGGGATGGTTATTATCTCTGAAGGACTGGCATGTGCATCACTGAGTGGTGAAAACACAGTAGGGCTCTTTTCAGCTGGAGAGTCTCTCTAGTTATTTATGTCATCACACTTTCGTCTCAGGCTCAATACTTTACTAAATACTATTATTAAGGACACTTACCCTGCTTGCTTCAGGTAACTAACAGAATGACTTGGGGCTTTGCATTCCCTTTCTATGAGTCTTACAGAGATAAAGTGAGCTGATGGCACAAAAGATGATGGTTTTGGAATGGGGCAGAGATGACCTAACAAGGGATGCTTGCTAGGAAACCATTCTTAATTGTATTCCTTAAAATAGGCTTGTAAACACATTCCTAGCAAAGCACGATCTCATTGGCATGTCTCTTCTTTATAGAAATGTAACTTTTATCTTGGGTTAGCATTTAAATTCTGTGGAGGGGAGGGGAGGTTTAAGAATTTTCAAAACTTTGTACATGCAGTAACAAATCAATGCAAAGCAATCGGTTCCCCTCTATACTGTTCCAGCTAAGAGGTTGCTTCTAGTCTAGAACAAAGAGAATGGCATTAAGGATGAAGCTTTGGCATTTAATTCTGAATGTACAGTACTTGGTTTTGTGGCTACCACCTTCCCTAAAATTATCAAAAATCATGGTTTTTTTTTAAATCCTTCTAATTTTTTAATCAGTTAGAGTTCACACTTTCAGAATTTTTTTTTTCCACAGTCATAAAGGTTTGAAACTTCTATTTACATCAAAATGTGAGCTTTCTTTATTTTATTCATTCATATTACTTCAGGAATTGGGCTTTAGGAAAATTGTTCAACATTATAAATCAAGGCAGTGTTTAATATGGTACCTTACATTTAAATTGTTAATATCCGATTTTTTCCTATGGGTTATTGCAAAGTTAACTCTGAAGTTCTTGGCTTTTTAATGGTGGTTGTACTGCTTTCACCTCTTCTTAAAGTTAGTTGTGCTATCATTTTGCTCAGTACAGGGAAAAGAGGTTCTCTCGGTCTATAGTTCAAAAATTGGCATACTTTTCTATGATTTTTTTAATGCGTTTGTTTTCTCTCTTGTATTTGGTACCTTGCAATTTTACATGAAAGCTTTGGCATTTTAATTGCATCAGTTGATTTTTCGGGGGCGAGGGGGGCATACTTAACATTTTCTATTAGAACAATTTTTACCCTTTTAACAAAATTGGTACCATTTTCATTTTTAACAGGCTTGATTCATTAGAAAAATGCATGCCCAAGGAAAGAATGGTAATGATGGAAGTCTGAAATCTGCTCTTGTCTTGTGTGTTTTGTTAATACTTATACATTATGTTCCTTCCCTTGTTAACATAAGTAGGCCCATAACGATGACTTGGGTCTCACAAAATATAGGGCTGCTTCCTTAGTTGATGGGAAAAGTACATTGCTAACTGCCTTGAATCATAAGTCTGATGAAGATGTTGCCTGTTCTCTGCCCCGCTAGTAAAAAAAAAAAAAAAAAATCCAAAATCATGCCAATGTCATGTCATCTAGTCTTTGGGCCATTCAGTAGGTAGATGAGAATAAGAGTGTCCAGTGTAACATGGGGTATTACAATTGAAAGTTCCTGGCATGAGATCCTATGTTAATAAGAAGGAGCTGTTTTAGGAACACTTGCTGTAAGATGTCTCAAAAAAATTAAAAGGGATCATCTAGGGTAGCTTAGTTGTTACAAGTGCAGTAAAAGAGGAGAAATGGAATTTATCTTCCTATATCTTCCTTAACACAGAGAGCTTTAGTGAGCACTCATGACTTTTATAGTGGGGGAAATTGAAAAACTCTAATAAATGAAATGCAAACACAAATTACAAAGTACTTTGCATACCTTAAGGAAAGGTGACCTCATGAGCTGGGAAAAGTGTATACACGTACATCTTAGAATTTCAGACTTGGCTGAGAGATTGTGACAGCCATGTGTTCCCAATCAAGCAAATGCTGTTTATTAGCCGGAGGAAAGAAAACAATTTTCTACAATGTGTTCCTATCCTACTAATAGTTCTGATGGCCTGCTGAAGTGATGCCTGTATGATAGTGTCTGAGCCTATACTGTAGCTCCATCTGCTGGTTGCTTTTGGAACATCGCTCCCTACATATTGAGGTCTAGTAAGAAATGAATAGCATACTAGCCAAAATCACAGATACCTTATTTCAGGGGGAGTGATTCTGTGTGATCATATGTTGTAGAAGCCTGCAGATGTAAATTAACTGTCATCTATTCATTCCATGTAAAGAGCTAAAGAACAACATCTGTAATCTGCTGTATATTAGAGTTCATGGGTCAGTCAGTCCATCCATGAGTCTAGGGCTACGACTACACTGGCCCCTTTTCCGAAAGGGGCATGTTAATTTCACAGATCGTAATAGGGAAATCCGCGGGGGATTTAAATATCCCCCGTGGCATTTAAATAAAAATGTCCGCCGCTTTTTTCCGGCTTTTCTAAAGTAGGAATAAGATCCTCCGGAAAAGGGCTTTTTTTCCGGAGGATCGGGGCCAGTGTAGACGCTCTTTTCCGGCTTTTCTAAAAGCCGGAAAAAAGCAGCACACATTTTTATTTAAGTGCCGCGGGGGATATTTAAATCCCCCGTGGATTTCCCTATTACGATCTGTGAAATTAACATGCCCCTTTCGGAAAAGGGGCCAGTAAGAGCTAGGACCACCAAATCTGGTATGTAGCATCCTCTTATTATATCTTAAAGCATGGTTAGGGTTTGGTTGTGCCAGGACAATGAGATGTGCATGGAATGTGATTGTTTCTCATCAAACTGAAAGGCAGGACTATGACAGCAAGGACAAGCGGTGAGGAGACCTGTGGCACCTTATCTTTCGTGGGCAAAGACCCACTTCGTCAGATGCATGTAGTGGAAATTTCCAGAGGCAGGTATAAATATGCAGGCCAGAATCAGGCTAGAGATAACGAGGTGGATCCAATCAGGGAGGATGAGGTCCACTTCTAGTAGCTGATCTGGAGGTGTGAATACTAAGAGAGGAGAAGCTGCTTTTGTAGTTAACTAGCCATTCGCAGTCTTGAAGATGAACTGTAGCTCAGCAGTTTCTCTTTGAAGTCTGGTCCTGAAACTTTTTTGCTGCAGGATGGCTACCTTTAGATCTGCAATTGTGTGTCCAGGGAGATTGAAGTGTTCCCCTACAGGCTTTTGTATATTACCATTCCTAATACCTGATTTGTCTCCTTGCCACTTTTGCAGATTCAGACTAACATGGCTACCCCTCTGATACTCGATAGCAAGGACAGTTATACTCCTGAATGATCACAGGGGGTATCAAGCAAGTGCATCTCCAATAGCCCCCACACTGCTGCGGAGCACCTTCTGGCCAAGTTGCATGACCTCCACTGCCCTGGGCCAACCCAGAACAGCAGCTGGGCAACAATTCACAATTTTTTCATTTCATTTCACCTTATTTGGTTGATGAATTATCCACAAGCCACTTGTTCTCTCCTTGAATATATTCAAGAGTCAACATCAGTAATTCTGTAAATACATTAATTCTTGGTTTTCCAGTTCCATGCCTATCACGTAGCCAGTTTCAGCCTTGCTTAGGGCTCAGAAGCCATTACCTTTCCCTCATCTGTGCCTAGGAGTTCTACTCTCTTTATTTCTCCTTCCTTTTTTTCTCTCTATGCTGAAGGTGGCAGCCAGTCACTTTTGACACCACATCATAGCATAGTGAAGACAGCAGTACATAATGCTGAGAAACATGACTGATTGTGACAGAGCTAAGTGCTTTATTATTAAATCAGAAGTGAAACAGACCAAGCTAGTTAGATTTCTTTTTTAATATATAACCCTCCCCTCCTTCCCTAATTTTACAAACACTTCCATATTTTACTTTCTCCAAGTTAAAACTGAGACTTGGTGTTATGAGATCTCTCTATTGATAGCCCCTTTTGACCAAAGTTTTGAGCCAATATTCAAGGTTTTTAGTGTTTCCATTAAGAGGCATAATTGATAATGTAGTTAGAATTTCTTTCCAACCCCGTTTATTTACAAAGAATGCACACAATGTCCTGTTTCACTGGACACAGTAGGAATCAAACAGCAGGAAACAATTTCCTTGCTTAATATTCTAAGCCTCTTTTCTATTATATTATATTCCAGTCCTCTACCCAAAAACCTCTCTTCACTTTATCTCGCTGTCATGCTACAAGTACTTATCTGGTTATCCTTGACTTTCTGGTGCCTTCTGCCTGCTTCTTTGGTGGTTCTGACTGCATCTGTGTTCAAACAAATACAGGTCCACCAAAACCAATACTCAGCTCTCTATGTTTGTATTTAGTTCCAGTGAACATACCTTCCTTATGGCCTGTGGTTTGGGTGGTGGCTACTATTGTTTTAGCTATCTTCTTGAATGAAGTGTGTCTGTTACACCTGTCCGTTTCATTGAGCTTTCACATCAGTATAATTGTGTATTTATAAACAAGGTGCTAGTAGATATTGCTCAAGTATACCTAGTATAAAGTCTCAGAGGAGTAGCTGTGTTGGTTTGTATCTGCAAAAACTATAGAGTTCTGTGGCACCTTAGAGACTAACAGATTTATTAGGGACGTAAACTAATTCAATACTAAATTGATAATATTGAATTGTAAATGAATTCCTGTTCATCTGTCTCCCTTTGTAATCATGTTTTAAAATTATTTTGTAGAAGGATGGCTACTCAATCCATTACTGAATGTCCAGGGAGGTTAAAGTGTTCCCCTTCAGGTTTATATAAGTTGTCTGATTTGTGTCTATTTATCTATCCTTTGGCATAGAAGACTGTCCAGTTTAGCCAATATACATGGCAGAGGGCCATTGCTGGCATATTACTGGATGAGCTCTGATGGTGGGGCTTATGTAATTAGTCAGTTTCCCTTCCTTGGGTATTCACATCTCTATACCGAATGCTGTAAATGACCCACTTCCACCCAGACTAGATTTGCTTCATTAACAAAAGCAACTTTTTCCGTATATATAGACACCCCTACTACTTTAATTTCTACTCCAATTCATCTGATGAAGTGGGTTTTACCCACAAAAGTTAATTTCCTAATAAATCTTAGTGTTTAAGGTGCCACAGGACTCTGTGCTGTTTACACATAGTATAGTTCCTGGGTTTCCTCATCTAGGACTGAAAATTCTTGTGAACTACAAATGACTTGCTTTGTCCATCGGCACATAATGGCCAACATTTCTACTTCTAGTTGTACTGAGACCTACAATTTATTTTAAAGCCCATTACAGCATGTCCCTGAATGGGGCTGGCCAGTTATATTAACTGACTCACGGATTTGGACCCAAATTCATTTTTAGGTTATCTATGCTATCTCCTGCAACAATTCACTGATAGGAAGCTTATTTTTACCTTAATTTTCTTTCCATTATTTCTAATGTAATCAGTGTTGCTCCTCCTGCTCCAAACATTCTTAAATAAGCCCCTTTTGTCCTTAGTTGTGCATGTTAGTCTCTTTACACCAGGATCTAAAAGAGCCTGGGTCAGTGTAAATACTATCAGAAACCACATCAGACCCCTGTGGTCAGCGAAGTGCCTGGATTTTTCTCTCCAACCACCTTCAGATATATAATGAATTCTTTGTTGCAGAGCATGTTAAGGCTTTTAAAACCTAAATGCTACCCTAATGTGAAGTTACATTTAATAGAAGAGCCAAAAGATGAAACACCCATGCAACATCATGGACTCCCAATAACCTGCAAGCTAACTTCATGGAACTAGTTGTGCTTATGTGAAGAGGGGCAGAGTGAGAGGGGAGGACACTGAGGAATTGTGACGGGGGTATTCTGCTCCTATTTGATGATGACTCAATATTACCTTTGGTTTAGAGGCCCTCTTGAGCTGTGGAAAGTTCCCCAAGAAGGGTCTGTAGAAGTACAGAGTTCAGGGAGCCACAGTTCTTAGTGCAAGTATAGGCCCTAAGATCACTTGGCATATGCAGGAACAGCCTTTAGCCAGAAGGATGTTCTGCCTGTTACAAGATTGAGATTTAAGGTTGTTACATGTACTTTAAACACAAGAGAGTTTGGCAGATAAACCTCTGACTTTTTTTTTTAAAATTCTAATGGAAAATCATCCATGCCCAACCAGAAGCATATTTTCTGTTGCAGGATACCAGTTAGAGCGTGCATAATTATATAAGCCACTTGGCTTGAGTTCAGCAATTTTTAGATGCTGTTTACTTTAAAATAGAACAGAGCCTTAAAGAAGCAACGTTTGTTGGCATACAGCTACAATCTTCAGAGTAAAAGAAAAAGGGTTTGTTTTAGACCTACTCTTCAGACTGCAAGAACAAGAGACTCGTGACTTTTTTTTCTCTAAATTCCAGCTCTTGTCTCCAATCAAATTATTCCAGTTATAAGTAAGGGAGCTATGGTTGACTGGTCAAATGAGATTTAACCTGTTACTTAACAATTTGTAGGGGCTCCTTTCACCTCTACACATACACACATTCTATAAACACTACAGTAGCATGACCTTTATAAATAGCTTATACTACAGACTCAGTTACAATGCTGAATCAAGATTTTCTTCCTTTATTGTATTAAAGGATTACAGGCAAGGGGGAAAACAGAATGGAGAAATACATGCATGCATGTTAGTACTGGATGGCTATCTACTATGCTTGGCTTTATTTCTCAGTCATGCAGCATTCAGTCACATACAAACACAAAAAAGGAGCCAACACTAACATGAATTTGAACTCTCATGGAAATACTATTATTTAGACAAGCTTTTCTAAATATAAATATGTATGTACAAAAACCAACAAACTGGGATGCAGCCAGAACAGTGGGTTTCTTTTACTAACAAACAGAATCAATGATGAACCATTTGTTAAACTCTCTATTTTCCTGTTTTGAGCTGGCTGGAAATGTTTGAAGGTACAGTTTCTTTACAAACAAACAAACAAAATGCAAACATTATCTCTAGTTTTTTAGCTTTAGTCATGGTGGGAAAGTTTCTATCAAAATTTTGCTGAAGAATGAACATTGATGATTAAAAAAAAAAAAACACTCATTCACAAGTGTGTTTGCAAAAATAAATTTCTGATCAGTTCTATTCCTGTTAATCAAAGTTGGGCCCTTATATACCTTAGGAACAGTGTGGATGCATCTCTTTAGTCACGCAAAAATCCTGTTAAATTAGTGGGATTGTGGGTGGCCATAAGGGGGTCACACCCATGTAATCCCATTGTAGGTTCAGACTGGATTTTAAAAAATATTGAAACACTTCTAAACTAGGGGTCACATTTCTAGAAACACCAAAGTGACTGAGGAAACAAGTCCCATTGAAAGCCAGTGGGACTTAAGCTTCTGTGTCATTTAAGTGCTTTGGAAAGTTTTGCTTATTCTGCAATCAGTTTTCACTCCAGGGTTCTTTCACAGAGTGCTCTTTTACTCCACACTTTCCATATGACACCTTCACATTTGTAACAGGGGCCTCTGTCCAAGGCTGGTGGATCCCTTGCTGCTCCTCTGTCCCATCAGCATCCTAGAATATTAATATTATTAAACTAACCAATAAAAACTTTATAATTCACACTCAATATAGCAAACCAACCAGGCACCAATGGGGAACCAATCTAATGTCTAGACGAACTAGCATGGCTGTAGGATTCCAATGTACGTACAGCCATATGTGAAGCCTTTGGGGAAGGATTTGGGGTGAATAACCAGTAAATTGGTATGGGAAGGGTGACACTGATCTGGAATAGTAACTGCTGAACTGGACTTAAAAGGTCATTTGCTTTTGGTCTTTGTTTGATATTAACAATGTCTTGGTATTATTTATGGGAGAGAGAAAATTCATAGTGAACAATGTTTGGTGGTTGAAGTAGGATTCCAGGCAATGGGGGGCGGGTCTCATTGACAGCTCTCTGCATTACCACAGGAAGGAATAACTTATGTGGGGGAGCAAACCCCACTTGTCATGCAGCAGAAAATGGCATTGATTTGTTGACTAACATTACATTAAAGACGTTGAATCACTTACTGAGGCTTAAGGTTCCTTTCCTCTGGTGTATTTTGCATTGGGTCCCTTGCATCACAATGAACCCATTTGATTTCAGTCAGGCTTTGCTACAATTTACACTTTGTTTTAGAATGAAGTAGTGTCTAAATCAGTGTTTCTTAAACTTTAAGACTGAGGAACAGCAAACAAGATTTTTTTTTTTTTTTTAATGGGGAAGAATCAAAAGGGAAAGCCTCCAGGGAGCATGCTTTTGTCCTTGGGGTGTGTGTGGAGATCTCAGTTCTCCCTCCCCCCCCCAATGCAGCAGGGAACCCAGCACAGCTGCAGCACCAGGCCAGGCTTCCCACTGGCAGGGCGGCGGGGGGGAGGGACAGGGGGAGAGAGTAGAAACCCCAACTGTCCCTGCCAGATTAAACTCTGCCACTTCCCCAGCAGGCTGGGGAGGGGCGCAGGGGAGAGAGAGCAGCAATGCATGGGGGGGGGGAGCAGAGCCCAAGCGCACCCCGGAGGGGAGGGGGCAGCAGAGCCTGAGCACACAGCAGGAGGGGGTGGGAGTGGCAGGGCCGGGGCGGGGTCCCCGCCGAGAGGAGAAACCCTGACCATCCCCGCCAGATTAAACTTTGCCATTTTCCCAGCAGGCTGGGGAGGGAAGGCGCAGGGGAGATAGAGGAGCAGCACATGAGGGGCAACAGAGCCCAAGACCGCCCCGGGAGAAGGGGGGGGCAGCAGAGCCCAAGCGTGCCCCAGGTGGGGGAGGGGAAGTGGGAGGTCTGAGCTGGGTTCCCTGCAGGCAGCAGTTTTAAAAAGCCAAGGTCTGGGAGCAGCCCCTTAGCACCGGCCATCCCTCCTGCTCCCAGCAGCAGCGGATGCTGTGTGAACTGCCGCCTGCACATGTGGAGGAGGAGGCTGCTCAGCAGCAGAGGCTCCGTGGGACACGGGCCATCCTGCGAGCTGTGGGGGAGAGGAGGCAGCCACAGCAGGAGCTGTCTACGGACTCTGCAGGGGGTGGGAGAGCAGAATTTTTTTCTGTTTTCTCCATGGCACAGCTCTGACTGCCTCATGCCACAGAACACAGTTTCAGAAATGCTCGTCTAAATGGCACCTCATGTTATGAAGTAGGCAATCCCAATGACTGAAATTCAGACTTGTGTACATGTTTATAAGTCCTGCCCTTATCTACTCTGAGTGTCCAATCTTAAAAAGCTGAATAATCACCAAGACATGAACAAGATTCATAGGAGAAAATAAGTGGGTATACTACTGTAAACCCCAAAGGATCAGTTCTTCTATTTGTGTTATGATTTTTTTTTTATTATACATGTGCTTAGTGGTTGATGTTCAACACCTCTTAAAAAGGAAAATAGATTTGCCTAGATTTTCCATCTTAGAAAAGAGGCGACTAAGGGGGGGGGGAGAGATATGAAAGAGGTCTATAAAATCATGACTGGTGTTGAAAAAGTGACTAAGGAAAAGTTATTTACTTGTCCCTGTAACATATGAACTAAATGTCACCAAATGAAATTAATAGGCAGTAGGTTTAAAACAAACAAAAGGAAGTTTTTCTTCACTCAGTGCACAGTCAGCCTGTGGAACTCCTTCCCAGAGGATGCTGTGAAGGCTAGAACTTTAACAGGGTTCAAAAAAGAGCTAGATAGATTCATAGTCCATCAATGGCTATTAGGATAGGTCAGAATGGTATTCCCTAGCCTCTGTTTCTCTGTAAGTGGGTGACAGGGGAGGAATCACATCAGGATTACCTGTTATGATCCCTCCCTCTGGGGCATCTGGTATTGGCCACTGTCGGCAGACAGGATACCAGGCTAGATGGACCTTTGATCTGACCCAGTATGGCTGTTCTTCTGTTCTTATCCAAAGCTTAATATAATTAGAGGAGGGTTTTATATTTTCTTGATAATTCCTCCTGCTCTTCTGTACTAAACACATTTTAAACACATTACCTGGAATTTTCTTTTGAGTATTTGCACAGCTTCATCTGGAAGTTGGCTTTTCTCACCATCACACTTTTTTTGGTCGGAATCTGGTCAGGGTCACAGTACAATTTTAAATTACTATAGTACAGTATAAACCTTTAGCAAATCAAAGCACGTGGCCAGTGTTCAGTCAAGTTTCCAATATTCCCCCTCCCCCAAGAACATGTAGCTCTGTGTGCATGGAACATTTTACCTACATGCTGTTGCCGACTTAGGGAAAAAGCGAACTGAATGTTTTGGCAGGAATGTCATTGTGATACTTCTCTACTGGCCCCATTAATTTCTCTCCTTCAGAAGGAATTTTATGAAGTCAAAGTGACATAAGATTTAGTCTTCCCATAGATGGTCTGAAATAGCAGTGTGAACGGAAATGTGAATTTCTCTATCCATTTCCTGATGTATTTTATTCATTACCAAGTGATATAATCATTTTGCACCCTTCTGACAATTTAAGGTTCCATCATCCCTATAAAAACCTCCATCTTGTAATACTGTAGTGTCACCAGCGCATTTTGGTTTTGAAAGTGTAAAAAAGACAACCAATGTTTTAACTGTATTTCCAAATTATGCTAGACCCATGAGTTTTTTACTAGAAAATTAAGGAATGGAGTAAAAATATATGGAATCTTTGCTGTTTCATGCTTTTACTACCTTGTAACACAATCAAATGCAAGTGTCTTGTTATAACCAAAAATATGCTATGACATTGGCATCACTAATAAACATGTCATACAATCTCTAAAATTAATTTGGCTCAGAACAGTTCAGCTCTTGTGAATTAAAAGGAAGCTCTCTCACCTGACAAGGTTAAATATGGACAATGTTTACTAATCCAGTCTGGGATTTCCCCCTTCTGGATACAATCCAATGCAATCTTCTCTGTTTCAGCATGTTCCAATTCAGACTTTGCATTTGCAAGATTTCTTGAAAGCTTTACTGAAAACTGTTCCCTACAAATGTATTCAGAAAGTCAAGGTCATTAGAGATGTGTGGTTTTTTTTGTTTGTTTTTCTTACATTTCTACTACAGGTTGGACCTCCCTGGTCTGGCACTTTTGGGACTTGACGGGTCCCAGATGATGGATTTTGCCAGCTCAGGGGAGGTCATTTCTGGCCCCCTCCAGCTTTGGCCCCACCAATGGCCTCCCAGCCAGCTACCCCATCTTGCTGGCCCCTGCTGCCCCTGTCAGCCACACATGGCCCTGCTAGGCAGCCCTGCTGCCTTTGCACACTGGGCTCCTGCTGTCACACTGGGCAGCCCCACTTCCTGTGTGCACTGGGCTCCCTCTGCCTTATTACCACATGTGGGGCTCCCACTGCCCTGCCAGCCTTCAGGGATCCCAGGTGCTAGCTCTTCATGGGATTCTCTGGTCCAAAAAACAAATGTGGTCCTATTGGAACACAGATGTTGCCACCCAGAGAGTCCTGATTAAGAGAGCTTCAATCTGTAGTCAGCACAAAGTGTACTGGAGGAAGGATTTTGAAAAAAGAAGTGGCAGAAAAGTATTGTGAGGTTCTAGATTCCTTCTAGTTTATATTGCTATGACTACATGGCAGGGGTGGGCAATAATTTTTGATGAGGGGGAGGGACCACTCCAAGAACTTGGAAAGTAGTCCAGGGCCTTACTCTTTCATGATACTCATAGAGGTGGTGCGGGGTCTGTGAGGTTAGTGCAGGAGGGAGTTTGGGTGAAGGAGGCAGTTGTGACCTGGGGCATTAAACTAGGGTGCAGGGGGTTGGATTGTAACCTAGGGCAGGGAATTGGGTTGTGAGCTAGGGCAGGAGATGACTGTGATGTGGGGTAGGGGATTGGTGTGTTGGGTCTGGGAGGAGGCATCAGTGCAGGAGGGGGGCAGAGGATTTGGGTATGTGGCGTAGGGGGGCAGAGGGTTGGGGAAGTGGGGGGGCTGGGGTGCCAGAGGCAGCCTCTGTCCAGGGAACTTAGTAGCAAGCAGCTGAATCTGCCTCCCTGCCTGCCTTGCACCCCACACAGGCTGCAGCTATGTGCTCTGTGAATAACTAGGAGCCCTTTGTGCTTATTGAAACAGGTGGTTCCCATTGGCCAGTTTCTGTCCAGAAGCCGGCCAATGGGATTGTGCTGGTGGTGCGAGCAGCTCCTAAAGCTTTCCCCCCCCCCCCCCCCCAAGGC